GATTATATCTTCCAAAATGTAAACACTAATGATCTATCTTTCCCGTCCAAAATGAATATTAGTTAATAATCAAATATGCTACTTGGGCCAAAAGTCAAGTTATATTTCCAAAATATTTATTTTCAGTCCCCAATCTTGAGCTCAAATCAATAAGTCATACAATCCCCTTCACAACCCACTCACATCCTAACTCTTTCTTTTAAATCAATCTTAATATCACCACATTATTCGCAAAATAACTCACTCACTTCATAACTCCTATTTTTAAATCAATCTTAAGATCTCGATATTATTCGTCAAATCGATTGACAGATGAGTTCCATGTGGTTGCACAAGTAGATCTTTGATTTCAAGTAATTTTATATGAATCTCTTTTTCATTGGACTTAATTCATTCAAGAATCAAATCTATTGAGCTATCTTCAAATGGATCTCCTCTTTTTACGTTTCTCTTCTCCCTTTCTCTTTTTCTTTGCTTTGCTACTACTTATAGATCGGTTCTACTCATATCGTTTTGACTTGGCCTGAGTCAAATGATTTGACTCGAGTCGTTACCGAGTCCCTACCGATTCAGATGAGTTTCGTGATATTCTTATAACATGGATTGTTATCAAATCGAAGGTGACCGAGTCGGATACGACTCTACCGATACCTCGAACCTTGTGTGCAATCGTTCATTTGATAGTGATCTCTAGTCAAAACAACCCATGCATAGTCTCCAATGTCAAAGACCATGTGTCTTCTATCTTTGCCAACATGGTCCTTAGACTTTAATTGCTTTCTTCAACTTATTGATGCACCTTCTCACGGATTTGTTTGATGCATTGAAACAAATATTCGGCCTCAGAACTAACATGACCAGTTATAGGAAATAGAACCAAATCCAAACATACTTGGAGCTTGCCCATAAAACAAATTCTAACAGACTCAAACATTGTAAAAGCAAATTCTACATGTAAAAGAACCTGATCCGCTGCTTAGGATTATTGCCCATGTGACTTCAAATCAGAATTCCCAAGCTTCCGTAGATAACTTCATTCTGCTCATATGTTTAAGGATGTTATCCAAAACTTAAGTTCAGATCAGACCCACTATTTATTTTCTAAAGTCCTCCAAAATTAGCTAACAATGTAATATGTCTTACAAATACAATTAACATTCGCAAACATTCTAAATTCGACAAAGAATTTGTTAATGAAATTATAGGCAAATATAGTCTAAGATTTGGAAAAGTGGAATGTAAGCTCATTGAGGTGGTGACAAAATTCCACCCACATAATCTTCATCTTCGCAAACATTAGTATTAAAATACAAGAACAACAATATATTCACGCAATATATACAACAGGCTCTTATGAAGTAGAAATACGTTTTTAAGCATAAGGCATATCTAAACTACAACTTTATCGGGAAGCATATTTTTCATCACCCAGTTGTATAAATTAAAACTAATAATTCAAGGCATGAGATGGGCACTATAATCATACAATTACACCTATTAATGTATCAAAATATGAAGCTTAATGCGAGTTGTATAAGGCATAGTCATAGGAGTCAATTTAGTCTGATTCGGATTCCCTTATGCTGAGCCTGGAAGCTTAAAATTGAAGTCTTATGAGGAAAAAACAAGAGGGAAGAAGGGGAGGGGGGGCATCAGTTCAGTTTTGAAACTAATTTTACCCAATTCCAAAATTAATAAGTTAATACCATGCTGCGAAACAAAACACTTCTAGAAAATGAAAATAACGAAAATGTCGAGGACAGTACAGTTTTGGGTTGCCCGCGGTTTCTAGCTACGTCATATTTTCGGCCAAATACACATATAGTCTAAATACCTAAATCATGAGATAATTCCAATAGTTGGAACAGAACAAAATTACTAAACTAATAAAAGTTCACGAACACAGCTATACGATGAGAAAACAAGAGAATTGGGATAATAACGCACCATAAACTCTTTCGCAGATCTCGAGAAGCCCGTCAGGTGGCTTCCTGTAGAAAAAATTTCGAAACAATGCCATGCGAATTCACCGACTGATCGAACTGTCTCAATTCTCCCAATTACAAAACCCTAAGAACACCAGACTCAGCATATACACAGCTGTATATATAAACAGATAGTTCAGAAGAATTGCGAAATTCAGTTCTATCGCTCTCTCTCTCTAATTTCTCTCTGTAAAAGCCATTCGAGTGCTGAGGTAGCACAGAAGCTGCGATCACCTACTGGCTTTCAACAGTGGAACCGTTCGGTGTGAAGACGACGTGTACGTCACAAGTGCATGACAACTCGGAGCTTGTAAATGCCAAAATTGGAAAGAAGAGAGAGAGAGACCATTATCTTTATATCTACGATTAATTACATCTAGACCCTCATAATTTATCTCTTAGTCGAATAGGGCCCTTCCCATTGGGAAAATAGTACTACAACCCCTAGTACGAAAACCATTTTGAAGAAAACAAAACTGGTGAAAATTGAAATGACTAAATTAACCTAATATTTTGGAAAAAAAAACTGAGATAATTTAAACAAGTGAAATTGATTAGTTGAATGACAAATTTATCTCATTTTCAAGTTTCAATCATGACTCAAACGCGGTATCGGGCATCCCATTTTAAAATTTGCAGTCAATCTTTGTATACTTCTACTCTCTCCTTTTGACTCGTATTTGCAAAACTAATTGTCCATCATCTCTTTTTGACTCTTATTTGTTATTGAAGATGTGTACATTGTGTTGATTTTTCCCCTTTTTTTACTTTTTTTCCTTTTGGGATTAGAATCTTATTTTAAAAATAAAGGTCATTTTCGTTTTCTTTTTATTTATGAATACTCAAGGACATCGTTGTTATTCAAAATAGAAGCCACAATGCTCACGGATCCTAAATGGATAATTTCAGTCTTCCAGTGCCTAAAAAATGTTTACGCTATCAAACATCAATGGATGCCCTAATGGGGTATAACAAGAAGGGACTAGTTCTCAAGATACATGCTTGAGGGGATGAGAGTGTTATTTTCAAACAAGAAGGTGCCATGCATGATGAAAAGAAAAATCTTAGGAGATATAGGAATGATTAGGGCTTTAATCTATATTTGATTGGTGGGGTTTCTACAAATCTAAGTGGCATTAGGTGGATGATTTAGGTCATCTTAATGTTTGTGAATGCCAATCAAGTTTCATAGTTGTTAAATTAAATGGATCCTACCAAACACCAACAAACCCAAGATAAATCTACTAGTACCACATTTTAGCTTATTAATGTTACCAAGGGAGAAAACTAAATGATAATCTAGCTAAATGTAGTTATCATGTATAAAGTATTCTCATTAATAAACAGAATCATAAGTAAATAAACCATGTCTGAGCTATTATATCTCTAATTGGATAAAATTACGAAACCCAAAAAATATTCGGCATTCTACCATAAAATTACTATTTTTACAGGTGAAATTATAATTGATTGGGATAATTGATAATCGTTCATGAATTACTTAAATCAGTTGTACTTCTCTTTTTTGAGTTATAATTTCCATAATCGATCATGCATAGCATTTTTGGATCAATTGTTTTAAAGTTGCAATCAACACTTCTCAAAATCGTAGTTGGACCTTGAAAGGTTATACATTTCTGCACGATATCACCTTTAGCCCCGTAGTCATCCTCTCTCTAAATTGTCTTTGGGGATGGCTGGCGGGTCAAAGGGATTTGCCCCCACTGTAGGAATGTGGACTATGTGAAGTGGAGTATGGCTTGATTAGTATTCCAAACCTGTACTTAAATACAGAGAGTGCTGTCCAATTAGCACCATCAAATTGAACAAAAAGAAAGGAACCCCTAAATCAAGTATGCTGGCTATAGATGTTATAAATGACAAAGACCAAAAAGGCATGAGCCAAAATTAGTTGATCTACCACGACGGTTTCTTAGGTCGTGTCGTAAGCTTCTCACCTCTAAATAAAAGATTTGACGGTTCAAGACTCGTAAGAGACATCTGTGGAATATAAAGGTCGGCTCTGGTCATGTTTAAGATTTGAGTTCAGTCCTCCTAGTTGTAAGGGGTTTCTTCCCCTCCACAGAAGGATTCTGACTGACCTAGGTGATCACCCAAAAGCCTTTACCTCTCATCCCAAAATCGTCCCCCCTTTGATCAGGTGCTAGGAGGTACCTCCTCCATAGTGGGTGTTCACCTATATGGCAGGAGAAGACGACTTTCTTCCGATATGGAATAAGAGAAAAAAGCTATTGAGTGGTCAACCAGAATCTTTCCGTGAAAGAGAAGAAACCCTTTGCACTAGTCATTTAATCCCTTACATCCCTTTTCCTTTTAGTAATAGTGTCAATTGTTCTATATCCACGCACAAGCGCCGGGTGGGGGTGTGGGGTAAAAAGGTTAACAAGATTCAACTACTCTAAACCTGTCAGCCAGCTTGGGGGTTGTAATTGCTCAAATACAGAATGCATCTCTCTTTGGGAATCTGGAATCTTACAGAGTAGGGTGAATTGCATTATATAACATGGAGAAGAATCATCTTTATTCAAGTAAAGTTGAAAATAAAGAGAAGAGTTTGTCCAAAACAAACTAGAGAGAGCCTTCACAGGGTAAACCCAAGTTGAACAAGTAAAAAGTTGTACCAAAATTAATTTTCAGTGCACCCTTAAAATCAAATAAATACATCAAACAAAGGAAAGCCATATTTGAAATTACAAGAAAGCCCTATCTCCTAGTCTACTAGCATGAACTGTAGTTTCACTTCAGTGTAGGACACCCAACCCCAACTTCGAAAAAAAAATGATCCTTCAGCCCAACCAAATTAAACAAAGCCTTTATCCCCATTTTTTAGGGTCAGCAACATGAATCATATTCCTCCATATGCTAAAATGACCCTCAAGCTAAATCATATAATAGATGATGGTGGTCTCTCTCATACATCAAAACATATTGCTCAATATGGAGGGAAAATAGTCAGTCACGTCCTATGGAGAAATCTCAAATGGAACCTCCACAACTTCGTCGAAGTCTCAATGTCAATACCCAGACAGAACCACAAAACACTGAAATACTATCATTCATTTGAAGAAAATAGCTCCTCTTAATGCAATGCCAATTTAGGGTAACACTGTTCATCAGGCATTTTCCCCATCATCCATTGGCTCCTCGAGCTCCACCTTACACTCTGATCCAACTCCTCAAATCCATGATCCCTAAATCCTTACTCTCATTCAGTAGGTAGATATAACTAGTTTTCTCTATTGCTATAGTGTCCCGAACCCACCTCTCATCCGTTATTGGAGCACTTATACCAGACCAAGACCACAACATATTTTCTCTATAAAATCCACCAAACTAATGTAGTTGTTGTTCTTCCAGGAAACAAAGTTGAAACCAACAAACGGCTGGTGCCATCTAACCATTGCAGCTTGTCAGTATCACCAAGTGACCAACTAGGTGGTTCATAGAAAATCAATCTGCTTCCCAGTCACTTGGTCCCAAACACCAATCCCACTCAATGCTCCTATGAACTAGAAAACAGTTTATAATCTGGGTTAAAACTTACAAGCTTCAAGTAGTTCCATCATCTAAAATCAAAGAAAGAAAAAAAATTCATCCACACGCCTTTGAGCTAAATCATATAATTGGTGGTGGTGCAGTCTCCCATATATCAAACACATTTTTCTCACTATGAAGAGCAAAGAGCCGGTCACCTCCAATCGAGAAATCACAAATTGAACCTCCATAACTTCTTCGAAGCCTCGATGTCAATACCCAGTCAGGACCACAAAACACTGAAATACTATCATTCATCGAAGAAAACAGTTGCCCTTCATGCAATGCCAGTTTAGGGTAACACGGTTCATCAGGCATTTTCTCTTTCATCCACCGGCTCCTCGAGCTCCACCTCACACTCTGACCCACGCTCCTCCAATCCATGAACCCCAAATCCTCATACTCATTCACTACACACAGAGAACTAGTTTCCTCCATTGCTATGGCATCCCGAACCCGCCTCTCATCAATTATTGGAGCCCCAATATCCGACCAAGACCAAACCATGCTTTTCTCCCTAAAATCCACCAAACTAATGTAACAATTGTCTTTCCTTGGAAACAAAGTTGCAACCAACAAACAGTTGCTACCATGTAACCATTGCAGTTTATCAGCATCACCAAGTGACCAACCAGGTGGTTCATAGAAAAAATCAATCTGTTTTCCAGTCACTTGGTCCCAAACCCCAATCCCATACTCATTGCTCCTACCTTTGCAACTAGAAAACAGTTTATAATCTGAGCTAAAACTTAAAGCACCAGCAGTATAACTCTTTACCTCATTTTCATGTGTGACATGAAACTTATACCTTAGCTCCCCTGTTGATGCATTGAACAATCCCATGCCTCCGTCGCCGCGGCCTAATCTCTCACAAGCACTGATCACAATGTTATCAGAATCAATCCAACAAGCATCATTAACTCTTTGGTAATCAAGATTTATTGGAGGGTGCTCTTCTAGCATCCAATCATACACATGTACCATACTACCATGTGCCACACAGCACCCGCCACCCGGGCCAGCCCGAATGGCCGTGCCATCGCCTGGGGCCCGGCCCGTTACCGACTGATCTAGCCGGAGCCTATTGCCGTCGAATGGGCCCCATTTAGCTGACCTGACATGGTCAAGAAGGCCATAAAACAGGGCTTCTCTGTAGAGGAGATTTTCCGGTATGTAGGAGGGAATGTAGAGCTCCCCTGTTCTTAGGAGGTCAAGAAGAACTGCGAAGCAATCTGGGTTTCGATCAATGAAGTGTTCTGTTGTGTTGTCGAATTGGAGGTCCCAATTGTCGTCGAAAAGAGCTCCGAAGAGCGAATTTCGGCCAGCAATGGCGAGGGTTGTTGCGGTTGTTTCGAAGATCTTGCCTCCAACATTGAATTTCACCCTACCTTTTTGAATTCCCATGCGTTAATTTCCTGGAAATTGGACAGATTGAAGGATTAAGGCCGCAAAAATAGGGAACTTGAATTTCACATTCGGTATCTTTATCGCGAAAAGCTCAAGTTTATAAAGAAATTTTTCAATATATAAATTGATTACGAAGGATGGATGGAGAACATCACAACAAAAATTGATTGACAAGAGAGAGAAATTGAGCCAAGCCAACCTGGACAAGACTAGATTTGTGGACAACTGGTTAACATTTTCAACAAAGCCAGCGGATTATAAGGGGAAAACAAAGGAAATGGATCAGATGCAGAGCTTGATTGCCGATAGTTGAGGTCATGAGGAACTGTGATTGGGTAATGAAAACTATTGCATTTTTTAATGGAAAATAGGTAACACAAATTTTAAATTTGCATCATAAACAAGGGAGACCCAGGAGGAAGAGTGGGCCAAAACTTTTTTAAATAGGACCGATTGATTCGATGATTCCTTAAATTTGAGTTATAAATTTAAATTACATAGCATTATTTTTTTTAATATTGAGTTAATAATTTCGGTTTTGTTAGAAAAGGGAGTTAAGAAAAACTCTTTTTTTTTAAGTAAAAATTAAAACTAAATACTCTTTGATGGATTTACAATAACTTAAATTCGGCAAAGAAATTTTTTTGAGGGTACATCTGTTTTTGAACTTATATATAAATACTTAAGTCTATTTTTTTTTTAATCTCAAAAATCCTCCTAAGAGTTTTAGTTATAATCAGTTATGAAAAATCATAGTTAATTGAGATATATATATGAAAAGAATATATGACTGTCTGATTTTACCTGTCACAATCTTTTCATAATATTTGAAATTTAAATTTTTATTCATATTCTAATGTTACACATCGATCAAATTGAAAATCAAAGTCCACCACGATCATCGAAAAAACTCAAAATGGTTGTTTTCAATGTACCGGAGGCGGAGAAACCCTCTACCACCACCACGGAGAAAGCAAAACCACCACATCCTAATCCAAAGCCAGAGAAACCCGCCACCATGGAAGAAGTTGCCATCACCATCTCCACCTCTTCCTTGCAAAAACTTTCTATATTTCCACTGAAACAGGGAGGCACGTTTGAAGATTCAAAATCTTGGCTTTTCTTCAGAGTCTAAACTTCCGAATCATCAAATAAGGCAAGTTGAGATTGGAGAGAAGACTGATAACTTGAGAGAAGTTCAAAAATTCTTCTGACCCAATTGAAAGTCAATGGTAGAAACAAAAATCAACTAATCCAAGCATCAGGAAAGAAAATTGGGGGTCGAGAAGGAAAAAGAAGAAGAGAAGATCACCGAATCGGCGTCGTTCAAAGAAGAAAGCAATGTAGTGGGTGAACTTCCTGATCTAGAAAAGAAGGCCTTGGATGAACTCAAAGAGCTGGTTCAGGAGCAGGTTCTACAATACAATTTGAGATCAACATCTCCACAATGCCCCGAAAGTGTTCGACGAAATGTCCAAAGCATGTAACTATTTTTTTGGAAGATCAGCGAGGTTTCAATTTAATTAGTTGTTTATTTTTGTGAAGGAAATGACGTTGTACTGGTACAATTTTTTTTTTTCATATTACTATTTCTATTTTGTTGAGTTTGCTTATATTCCTATCTTTTTTAATGTTACTATTTTTTTTATAAGTATATTACTGTTAATATTAAATGTTAATATTTTTTCAAAATTATCAATATTCAATGTTATTATTTTTTTTTGAGTATGTTACTATTTTTTTTTTAATATTAATATATAATGTTATTATTTTTTATTTTTTGAATGTTACTATATTTTTGTGTTTAAATAGAACTAGTTGTTGTGTTTAAATTGTATTATTTTTTATGTTTAAATTTTCTATTTTTTGTTTTTAATGTTAATATTAAATATTACTATTTTCTGAAATATCAATATTAAATGTTAATATTTTTTATTGATTATGTTACTATTATTTTTTTAAATAACAATATACAATATTACTATTTTTTATTTTTTATTTTTTAATGATACTATTTTTTGTGTTTAAATGATATTATTTTTTGTGTTTAAATGATACTTTTTTTTGTATTTAAATGTTACTATTTTTTATTTTTAATGTTACTATATATATATAATAGTTATTGTCCTATACCAAAAAAAAAAAAAAAATTACATTCGAAAGCAATGTATAACACAAAATACCAATCAATATATACCCACTATTAAAAAAAATAGATAAAATATACTCTGAAAACATGGCCTTTGGACAATATCAAAAGATTTTGCACCTTGAAATCTTCCCAGATTCCAAAGAAGCTAATGCACATTAGGAGCATAACTAAACAAACCCATGAAATCCTCCATATTGCCCATGAAATCGGCTTCATCCAACCCCACCAAACCCCTTATTCACATCAGAAGCCAGTTGCATATCCCTTAAAATCCTTCATAAAAGCTCTGGTGAGCATCTCCAACTATCAAATTTGAATCTAAATTTAAGTCAAAAATTTGATTTGGTATGAAATACTCCATTCAAATATTTACTTAAGTCTTTTAAGAAATTCCCTTACTATCCTAAAACTCATTTTTATTAATTTTTTGCACCAAAACATGTTATCCTTGCTCATTTCTGTCTCATTCCCTCCAAAACCTTTATCCCTCTCAAGATTTGATTCCCTCTCTTCGGTTATTCATAGGCACAACGAACTACAACAATACAACAAAGAAGCAAGGGGTAATTATGATTAAGCAAAGATGTTGCCTGGACTTTGGAGAATGAGGGGAATGTCATATTTAGTGATTTTGTGATTCATGAATTAACAATTCATGTCCATCTTTCATACAACAAACTGGATACCAGTGGTTAAACACCAATCACGAGAAATCATACAGCAACCTAAACACAAATTTATGAATTGTAGCAATCACTTACCTACAGTTTTTTTGTCTTCAAAAGACCGACGATTGAATCGGTTGCCGTCAGCGATGGAAACAACTTTGAAGTTTGAAGAGAGGCTGGAAGAGATAGTCTGGCGTTGAAGGATTCTTTTAGGTTTGGTTTGAATAGGGTAAAAAGTTACCGTTAAAAATTTGGTATATGATTTGGGTCTCCCTCAATTTGAGTCCAGAATTTTTTTTTTAAAATTTGATATAAGTTTGGGTCCAAGGTTGGAGAAGCTATTTAAACCATTTAGACTCAAATTTAAATTTGAGTCATAGTTGAAGATGTTTTAATCAGAAACATCTTTAAAATTCAAAAATCATGGATTGATGTGGAGAAGAAACCGATCCCTTTTCCTTAACTATTCATAGGTTAAGTCACCACAACAAAATAATGTAGCCAACGAAATAAAAAACAATGATATAAACCCTCACAACAATTCTTCAAAATTTAAAAAAAATAACATATAGCGGTCAAAAGGGGGCATTTGGGTGCCAAGAAGGCGAAAGACAATAAAAACACAGAAAATAAACCACATATAAAGAGATTGTCTATTATCATTTGGTCATGCTATCCACTTCCCATCAAGCTTTCTACCAGGAACTTTACCTTCTAGACTAGAATTTAGGAACCTAAATAAAAAAAATGTGCACACCCATTAAGAAGATTATTAGTTAATTACAAAAATTATACAGAAGAAATCAAAAAGGTGATAAACTTTGATAAGCACAATTTTGGCTTGTTAACAAAATCAAACAACTTTGTGCGAGGATTCTAAACTAAAGATGACAATTATAAGGAATGTTGACTACTTGAAACAGACATTAACGACCTGCAAATTGCTCAGAACAAAAAAGCAATTAAGCATCACAAACATGTTTTAAAAAAATGTGTTGGTTCCAAACCCACTTTAGTGTAGGGGTGTGTGCAATGCACACAAATGTGTGTGTGTGTGTGGGTGGGTGGGTGGGTGTGTGCATGACTACGTGTGCGTGGTCTTTACGTAGAGACCATCCAAAACTATATAGAACTTACATATCAATTGGGCAAAATACAAAAGAAAATAAGTAAAGGACAACACTAACTCGGTGAAGCCTTCATACGCAGCTCCAAATGACCCACTACCAGAAAGTCGCCCTTCTGCCAAGAACAGAGACTTACAGATATAAAACAATGATCTCTAATAGGTTTCACTCCGCTTAAGCGAGATTCACAATCGTGAAACCTCAGTCAATCGAACCTCCGATCAGAGGTCAAGAACAAAAAATAAAAAATGTTTAGCAAAATTCTCAAACTCACATATCAAAACCCCAGAAATCCAAAAACAACAAATACCCAAAAAACTCAGAACCTAAAACCAAGAGAAATAGTAAATAACAGAATAATAACTAAAAACCATGCTTGTTTGTATGATATAAAGTTTATAAACTAAATACATATGAGAGAAAAGAAAAATTAAAAAAACTAAAGAAAAGTAACAATGCATATAACAATACGTCCACCGCCACCTATCCAACACCAAAAACGCACGCGCACACACACACAGAGAGAAATGCATTGATTGAGGCGGGGAAGAGTGGGAGGCTAAATCGCTAACTTCGCCAATGACCAGCATCGACGTGTGTGTTGGCGAGTGTAGGCAAAGACAGAGAAGGAGGGAGAAAGATAGGTTAAAGCTTTTTGTTGTGTAATTGGGGTGAATGTGATGATCAGATAGGTATGTGTAGGATTTAGATACCCTCGATTACTCATTCCTTTCAATAGGTATGTATAGGTATGATCAGACATGTGTAAAATTTTGAATTTCAATGGATAATATATTTTCTCATTCATATTTGTTGTTGTGGAGTGTTAACCATTATTAAGGAATTTTCTCACAAGGAAAAAATCATATCCATTGAAATTCAAAATCTTACACGTGTCACTCATCTAGCATTATATTAAGAGGAATTGAAGGGAATGTGTAATGGAGGGGGTCTGAATCCGTATGTGTAAGAGAGAGAGAGCAAAGAGTGGGGTGAAGTGTTTTGTTGTGTCTATCATTTTAAAACATCAGGAGTATGGTCTAAGAGACAGTATGAGATTGAGATAGAGAGATAGAGAGAGAGAATTGTATGAGAGATAGAATAAAGGTATGAGAGATATGAGTATGAGATAGAGAGAGATGACATAGTATGTTTAAATCTTAAAATGTCTAAAAGATAGGTGTATGAGATACAGAGAGAGAAACAATTATATACGTATAAGATATGACAGTATGCAATAGAGAATTATATGAGAGATGAAAGTTTTAGAGTTGTAAAAGTAATAAAAGTCTAATTAAGACCATCGATCAATAATCTTCAAATGATTTGAGCCGCGAAAAGTTGAAGACAAAGAAATATAACTGTTTTATTATATATACTAGTCATTACCAGCATCTGGAGGCACTCTTAACACAAAAAAATTGTCAAGCAAATGGAGCATCCAAGAATGTCTTAACAAAATAAGTGCAAAGATTGAAATGAAAAATTATATCATATTAACACAATCTGAAAATTTCTATGAACTTAAATTAACATCATTACAAAATTATCTTATCATATATTTCTTTATGGCGACTCTTCTTTCCAATGGGTGATCATTTTTTCAACCTCCTGCTAAATTTAATGAATAGATTGTCTAGTTCATATTAAACTACAAATCAAATTTCTAAAAAATAGAAAAAAAAATCAACTAAACTAACATTGTCCAGTGAATCTACTTGTAGCTTTAAGGACAATTGATTTAAATTATCCGTCGCAATGACTTCTCGGATGCTACAAAAATAATCTCACGCTGCAATTAAACCAAATTAACAAAATCAAAATTTCACTACTTAATTTTTTTTTATTTAACTGATCTTTTTATCGTTTCAATATTTATTTTACACTATTCAAATATTTAAAAAATATGAACATTAGCAAGGGAAAAACGATGCAAATAAGGAAAAAAAATTGATAGTTGGTTTAGAATATTATTTTTTTATTAGTAATTGATATTTTTTTATTGGTAATTAGCTTGACTTTGAATTTTTTAGTTTTTTTTGGTGTAATTGATATCACTTGTTATTTTTTTATTAGTGATTAGCTTGACTTTGATTTTTTTTTTATTTTGTTGGCGCAATTGGTATCACTTGTTTTTTTATTGGTGATTAGCTTGACTTTGAATTTTTTTTATTGATGATTAGCTTGACTTTGAATATCTAAAACCTGAGAATTGTTTTTTAATATTTAAATATTTTCTTATCTATAAAATCATACAAATATTTTGAGTAAATAAGTCCAATTAAGAACATCAAGACAAACAAATAATGCTAAGAGATAAAATATGAGATAATATTGTTTGTCTTGACAATTCTAATTAGACTTTTATTCTATCTCATCTACATATATAGAAAGAGTATAAGAAATGAGAGAGTGTGTGTTTAAAATGTATGTGAGGGAAAGAGAGAGTTAGGTGTATGAGATAGAGAGAGAAAGAGAGTTATATTAGAGATGAAAGTCTTAGAGTTTTAAAAGGAATGAAAGTCAAATTAGAATC